AATCATTAGCAGCACACTCTCTCTGTCTTTTTAGAAGGGAAAGTTTGGGTGACACAGAGGTGATAAAGATTTGGCTCCACCTTCTTGATGCTCATAGCGTGATGGGGAAGACAGGTGCTCAGACCGTGAAGGTAACACAAAGGACAGTGATAATAGAATCACCAGAATCCGAAGTGTGTGTGTGTGTGTGTGTGTGTGTTGGCGGGGAGGGAGACTGTGAGAAGGGAGGCATCATTTTCAGCTAGAAATGATGATGATTTTGGTGTTGTTAATAATTATCATTGGAATAATAATAATAATGCAATGAAAATAGCCAAGGTTAACTAAGGAGTGCCTTCTATGGGCCAGGCCCTATGCGAGGAACTTCCTCTGCTGTGCTTTCAGTCCTTCAGACAACCCATTTAGGTGTGGACAGCATTATCCCATGTTACAGGTGGGTGGTCCTGAGTGGGTCCATAGAGCACATCACCTGTACGCTGAACTTAGCATGGAGGGTTGGGTTTTGGAAAGCTGAGACTCAGGAAAAGAGATTGTGGGGCAGAGGAGGGGAAACGGTGGGCACAGTTAGCGAATGGGTGTAATTGGGGAAAACCAGAGGTTCTCAGATGAGGAAATAATGAGAACTTGAGTGGAAGGATGTGGCAGGAAGTAAAAGGTTGGATGGTGGGATGAGACACTGAAAGCCGAGAGTGAGGGAGAAACCCAGAGGCTGACTATCAGTTCAGGTGTTGTCCAGGAGGAGAAAATAGGAGACCAGGACATGGAGGGGTCTGCCAAGACTGTGCTGAGCTGCCTCCTTTAATGCAACTGCATCCCTCTGCATTAACGGAGACTCAGAGAAGTAAAGCAACCATGGACATAGCTCTGGCCATCCAACTTTGAATAATATTGCCTTATAAATTAACAAACACACAGAGTTTTTGTATTTGGATTGATTTTTTTTCTGGGCTAGTAATTTGAAGAAAAAAAAACCTTAATTTGACCAATTTATCTTATACACTCAGGGCCAACCTTCCCAAGTGGCAAAATGGAAAGGCACGTGGCCATGAGGAGGTACTTGTCCTTTTCTCATCCTCGGGTCCTGCTCAATTTGACCTTCTGTGATTTCTACTCCAGCCATTGACTGAAAGGAATGCACAATATCTTAAAGAGATGGGAGGAAGCAGGTAGATACTCACATGAACTCCTGTCCCCAAGATTTTCTCCTGATGCATTTGGGAGACACCGAGCTAGGCTCTGAATTGGTGGGAAGACTTAGCAAATAGAGGAAGACTTTCAGCCATAGAACTATTTTCCTTTGGGTGCCCCCCCCCCCAAAAAAAAAAGAGATGGAGAGAAGAGAGATTAGTGGGGCTGGGAGCCAGGATGGCTACTGTGGATTCTTTCTCTTTTGAGAACCAGAGGCTTCTCAAAAGTATGAAAAAAGAAAACTTACAAACAGGGGAATACTTCCAACATCCCACATCTCTGCCTTGGGCCAGAATGAATGCCACCCCCTGAAAAGATTGCTTCTGCAATTACAACTGAATAACCAATTAAAATGTCTCCTCTGGCCTCCTTCCCCTTCCCCCCACTGAAATTTTCTCAGCCTAGAGCCATGGGTGAAAAGGTGACTTTCTCTAATAACATTTGTGTTCTCTGCCAGAGAGAACACTTGATGGAAGTGGACAAATCTTTTAGAAAATCCTATATAATAAAAGGCTAATATGCAAATCCACTGAATGGCAGAATGACCAGTTACTATAACATCCACTGACTACCAGGGGGCAGACACTCGATACAGGAGGTGGTTAGAGGGCTTGCATAGGGGGAGTGCTGCTCAGCCAGAAGCTGGGCTGATGGCTGGTGAGTGCAGTGGAAGTGGTGGTGGGAGCCTCTCTCACCTCTGCGGCAGTGCTAAGGATGTTCAACTGTCAACCTAGGCCTACTCCAAGCTGGCAGTCAGACATCCCCTGAAGGCTCCCAGACTAGGAGAGGGTGCAGGCTGGGCTGAGGAACACTCACGCCCCCTGAATGCATAAATTTCATGCACCAAGCCTCTAGTAATAAATAATGTGGAAAGGGCTGATCCAAGAAAACCTCAGCTTCTCTGTGTTTTCATTCTCCTCCCACACACTATTTCCCTCTCCACTCTGGCCTGCAGTACCCTTGGAAATGAGGGCAAAGCTGTGGGAAGTATTGGCCACATCTAGAGTTGCCCTTGGCCTTGTTACTCTGTGATCTACAAACCCCTAGTACTTCATCTATAAGATAAGGTAAATAATAGGAATAACTAAACACTTATTTCTACATGCCAGGCATTATTCTAAGCCCTTTACACTTTCGTTTTAATGTCCTAAATCCTCTGAACAACTCTATGAAATAGGTACTATTACTGTTTTTGTGTTTTGTGAATAAAGAAACTGGTGTGCAAGGAGTCAAGTAAATTGCCCATTTAAGATATTTGAACCAAATGTCAAATGGAAGAGCTGATTCAAAGCCAGGGCGCTGGCTTGCAATGAAGCCATCTTGCCCACTCTGTGGCATCACATGTGCACAGAGATGGAACAGCATGTGGAGCTGGCATACAGCAAGTGCTTAATAAGTGTTGGGTTTTCCTTCTTTACCACACAACAGTCTCGTTTGAACTCCTTATGAGGTTTCTAGGCCAAGAAGCTGAGGATAGGACCTTGGGGATGAAAAGGGCACAATAGCAAGACTTTGAATCAATATCGGAACTTATGTGGCTGTCTTTGAAATTGGTCACTTGAATCATGTTCAGGGCCACATAGATTCAACCTCTCCTGGCCCTGCTTGTATTTACAATTCGAGTTAACCCATTATTTGAAAAGCTGTAAAGATTGTGGTTACATGAATATTTGGTTTTATGAACTCTTGATGATATGGGTAGACAGGAGAGCACTCAAGGTTTCAACATCTCTTATTCCCATTCCAAAGGGAGTAGAAGTGTAAGGTCATGACCCACAGAAATGCTCTGTGAAGCATCCAGTGAATTGATAAGGAAATTGGGGTCTCATAGCAAGGAAGTGCTGAAACAGACTGTGATCTAAATATTTTGGCCGTTTTCTTTCCTAGTGTGAATTTAACTTCAACCATTTGTATTGAGTGCTTCTCAAGTGTCAAGCCATGTGCTGGGGACTCAGTAAACAGATGACTAAGGTGTATGCCCTGCCCTCCAGAGAGCCACAAAGAGTGTAGATATAGACAGGGGTAGTAATTATTTGGAATGGTGTTAGAGTGCCTACTAATAGGAGGTGGATGAGTACAAAGATGGTAAAGAAGGAGGTGGTGATGTAGAAATCAGGAAGGTCTTCCTGGAGGAGAGGTCCCAGATGGACTTTGGATTTGTTCATCAGAGTGCCTGATAGAGGGAATTGCATGAGAAAAGGTATTGGTGCTGATGCTTCGTGGTGAGTGATGATGCCAGTGCACAGTGGGGGATTCAAGAGGGAACAGAGAGAGATGAGGCCAGAAGTGGAGACATGTTCTTACAGGCCATGCTGGAAGCTTGGACTTTACTTTCACATATGGAGGCCCTTCCATGACTCAGAGGGAAAGACAAGGGAACCATCATTATGTGCTCTACATGCCAGGCCCTGTGCCAACCTCCCAGGAGAGACAACATTGTGAAAAAGGAGAACACTTTTAACTGACTATGTGACCTTAGCAAGATATGAAGGTTATTTAAGCCTGCATCTTCTCCTCTAGAAAATGGGAATAATAATGCTGCTTACCTTAGTATAAATAAGTCGATGAAAGGAGACAATCCATGTAAAGTTGGGCAACATAGAAGGGCCCAGCAAACATCAAATATCATTATTCCTAGACTTTATCTTGCCTTCTACATCAAGCTGCCTGTCTGCTTGTTTATTTATTTATGTTTTTATTCATTTATTAGTAAATCACTGGATTCATTTCCAACCTTCCTTAAGAAGTGATTATCAGCTGCTCACAAGATCCCTAAAATACATGACGACAAACATAACACAGGAGCTGGAAGAGGTGTTATGAGCAGAGAGCAGGATGCCTCTCTCTGTTCAGGAATGAGCGTGAATAAGGTTCCTGTGGCTGATCGCCTACTTTAGCTTTTCTATCTTGATGGGAGAGTCGTCTTCTGTAAGGGAAGACTTCTTAGTACCGAGTACCTAGGATCTCTCAGTCTGTCTCCAAAGTCCATTTTCTCTCTCTCTCCAACATGTGTTTGTCCCATGTATTAAAGAGTTAAGGGGAGTTAATTCACTTTCCAGATATGTCAGGCTACTGTGGCAGTGACCTCAAATACAATATCCTTCTCTAGTCTACTGTACAGACAAAGACATAGAAGCTTGCAGAATGCAGAATCATGTGCTACAGGTGACAGCATGATGCCCCAATCAAAGGAGTATGGGTTTCCAAGCTAGACAGAATTGACCCTGAAACCCAGTTCTACAGCTTTGGACAGCCTGTTTAGTAACAATGGGCTGGCCACATGTTGCTCATTTTGAAAACCAAGTAACAGTGCCTCCTTGCATGGATGGTATGGAGATGCAAAGAAGGCTTCCTTCCTAGTACAGCTCCGTTATACACCAAATGAATGGTCAAAGATCTATATAGTGAATGAAGAAAGAAAGAAGCCAAGACTAGAAAATATGTTTGCTCTTCCACGGTCTGTGTTCTTGATCTGTACATATTCACATTGTGTGGCCCTGTCACCAGTCTACATAGCTGAGTCCTTAGGGACACAGATGTGGACTTTAGATAAATCTCGGTTCTGAACTGAACTCTGCTATTTGTAAGCTGAGCAACCTTATCAAGCCTCTTAAATGCATAGGGATATAATTTTCTTATTTATAAAATGGGACAATATCAGTTACCTTAGACTATGTATTGAAAGAAGTCAATGAGGTGATGTCTATAAAGTGCCTGACACATAGTTGCTCTTACTGAATGAGCAGTATCTGTTATGTGAAGAGTCACGTTTTTGAATGGTGATGACAGCCAAGGTTCTTTTTCTATTACAGAGCGTACTTGGATGTTAATGAACTGAAGAACATTCTTAGACTGGATGGAACTACACACCTCAATATCTTCTTTGCAAACTCCTCGGAGGAGGAATTGGCAGGAGTAGCCACTTGGCCATGGGACAAGGAGGCCCTAATGCCCTTAGGTGAGAATTAGAAACGTCTCCAGGAGGGAGTTGAATTAGTACAGGAATACATTTACTAGTGTTGATGGTGATTATGATGGATCATAGTGATCACGATCCTGATGGTGGTGGTAGTATGGGGATGGTGAACAATTTATTTTTTACTTTTTACATTTACAAAACACTTGAGCATTCCTTATCTCTTATCAACCACTAACAAATGCTCTGAAAAAAATAATATAATAGTATTCACCCTGTTTACCAGTGAGGAAACTGAGATTTAGAGAGGGAGTGAGGGCTTATCCAAGGTCACACACGTCAGTGGCAGAGCCATGTTTTGAATTCAGATTTATTAACTTCATCCATCAATTGCTTTCAGTATCCCCTGCCTCTCTGCCTCTTTGTTCATGCAAATATCTTCTCACCCTTGCAACCACATTGTGCTGGCACAGCCAAACATGGGTTGGCTTGAAAGCCACCAGAGAGGCAAGAGAAAGCGAGTTTGTAAGAACTCCTTGTTCCTTCATGTTCCACCCACCAACACCAGGAATTCTTCTTACATTCAAATTATGCATGTCCATAAACACGATACATGTTTATACATATCAGTCACCAAAGTCAGAAATGACAATGGTTTCTGAAACATGCACTGTGAGCAAACATTGGCGTTGTTTGATTTTTAAAAAATTATTTCATGCCCTCTACAGTTCTCAGATATACACAGACGTGCATTTTTTAACTTGTGCATATTTAAAATCATAGCATATACGCACCTTTGTGTTCTTTTTTTCACAGAATGTTATGCTATCTACATTTTTCCATGTTGCAGCAATCTTCATAATTACTTCCCACCCCACTTTTTTTCATTTAACATCACACACATCTTTCTGGGTTTATTTTCATCTCTCTAAAGATGCCATTTGTAATGGCCATATGACACTCCATTGAATGAGGGCACTGCAGTGTCTTTAACCGGTTCCCTTTGGTAGAATATTCCCATTATTTCCGCCAGTGAGCAGTGATGACTCAGTGAGTGTCTTCATCAGAATGCCCAGGCTCAGCCAAGTGACCATGCTGGATATTTCCTCCAGCTGCCTGGTCTCCCAGGGATAGCCCATGGTCCAGGAGCTGCATCTATGCTATCTTGGAGATGAAGGATTCTGTAACTTCAAATGATGATGTTATAATGAATCAAACTCTAGACTTAGTTTGCTCCAGACAGCTCTCATTTTCCAGTTGTTTTTAAAAGAATTAAACCACTGTGTGTGTGTGTGTGTGTGTGTGTGTGTGTGGTGATCTACAACTGGGGAGGGGTGGATTTTATCTCCTAGGAGACATTTGGAAATGTCTAGAGATATTTTTGGTTATTACAAATGAGGGGATGCTACTGGCATCTAGTGGGTAGAGGTCAATGATGCTGCTAAATCTCCTGCAAAGGCCACAGAAAGGAATTATCTAGTCCCAATGCAATAGTGCTGAGAAACTCTGAGGTTGGTAATGGGTAGACAGACAGGTGGGTTCACAGACAGACAGAGAGGTATTGTGAAAAAGAGAGATTGCAACTTAGGTAAACTTGGGCATGATCAGCTTATACCACATGCTTCATATGATGTCTGGGGAATTGTGCTAGTCCTGAGCCAAAATCCATAGTTGTTCTCAGCAGCGAACAGATTCATTATGGCTTTAGGCAGGGCTCATTCTTTTCCCAGATCTCACTTTCTTCAGATTTTAAATGAACAGGTTAGGCTAGATGGTGGCCTCCAAGGACCCTTCTCTGTGCTGAAATTTTGTGCTATTGGAAAAGCATCGAAAAAGGCCATGAACAGTCTTAACGTGGTTGAACAGCGGACTTCTAAAGTTAAAGAAAAGTACTCCTGATGTTCCACGAATTTCAGAGACTGGATCAGGACCAGGAGTACAGGAGGCTATAAATCCATAGCATGTTATAGTATTTCAGGATGATGTCAGGCTCCAGCTATTTCACCTTTTAAGAGAAGCAATGAAACAGGACTCAGACTCTGTGCTATCGCTCTGTGCAAAGGGGTGTGCTGGTGGGAATGAGGTAGAACGAGCAGAGCCCACCTGGACATTAAGTCTGCAATCCTGTTCTTATCCTTGAAAAGTATCTGTGTGGTCCTCCCCCCATTACCTCAACGTTGAAGTTTCCTGGAGAGACAGAGTCATTGACACTCTTGTGGCTGTTTCTTTTAGAACTCCCCAGAGAGGCAAGGTCACTTTCCCAAGATCATACAGCCAATATGAAGCAAATTGAGGATTGCAACCCATGTCAGGCTAACATCAGCTGTCCTTCAGGCTGCCACCTCCCTGTTTTGAGAGAGATTGGTCATAAGCAAGTTCTCTTAAGTAGCCCCAATCAAATCCCATTCATTAGAAATTATATATATATTCTCTTCTTCTGCTAGTTATACCATGATCCCTGGAAAAAGTCTGGGTGGGAAGGGGATTATGTTTTATATTATGATCGACATAAAATAATTGAGATTTCCTATCTTCTCTTCCTCCCTGCCTCTGCCTGCCCTTTCTCACATACACACGTGCACATACCCTATATCCACAGCACTCTCATACATCTTTATCTTTGCGTTTTAAGAAGTCCCTGAGCAGTTCAGAATGAATAGACCCCACCAGCCCCATGACTGAGCAAGCTCGCCCTCCCAGCAATTCAGTGCGAGATAAATCTGCTCGCCAGCACCAGGCCTGCCAGGACAGATCGAGGCTCTGCCCTCTCGCCATTGCATAAGATGTTGCTTTGCACTTAAAGTTACTACTTACAGGAAGTTCAGATCTTACTTTTAACCTTCCCCTAGACACATTCAGATTTAAAGTTTACAAATCTTTCTGCTAGCCTGCATGGATTTCTTCAGTGCCTGAAATGAACATGGAAGGATGCTGCCAGTTGATTCTATGAGACCTCTATCATTTGTCTCGCCAAGCAAAGTAATGCTATCTTCTAAGACACACGGTGTGGACTATTCGTCCTCAAACTATGCAGTCTAGTCATCTGGGGCTCTTGTTTGAATTCAGATTCTAAAGCTGTAGGTTTGGTAGGGGCTTGAGATTGTGCATTTTAACCACCTTCTAGGTGAGCCACACTTTAACAAATAGTTAGTGATAAAGGCACTCATTGTTATGTCATATGCTATACTAGCTGCTTACATGTGCTTTGAGTTGGCATAACTTTTTTTTGTTGTGTCAGCATTCAGCAAATATTAACACACATTTAAGGAGATACCATATTTTGGTCCCTGAGGTAGGCATCCACTGTAGAATTCAGATAAAGAACCCTCACTTTGGAGTCCAGGGATCATGGTTCAGATTTCAGCTCCACATTGACTAGCTGCTGACCATAGGCCAGTCGCTTCACTTCTCCGGAAATCAGTGCCAGTCTCGCTGGGCTGGGAAGGACTGTGATTATACACAGGAAACACTCAACTGCTGGCCTGAGGAAGACATCATAATGCTTAAGAAATATTGGCTTTATGGTCACTTTACAAGTGCAACACAGTGCTGGCAGCAGAGACTAGAGAGCAAAAGGACTGGAACTCAGAGATGGTCATTGACTTGCTCAAGGTCACAGAGTTCATGCAGGCAGAATGAGCCCTGAAGCCACGGGGTCTGACCTTGAGGGCTTCATTTAAGCAGAAGCACATAGACTACTCATCAACCTGAGCGTGACTTACTTTCTAAGGAAGAAGTTGCAGCAGAAATGTTTCCCGGCCCAGAAATCAGAGGCCTTGAGTTCAAATTATGCAATCTCTCTTAAGTAGTTGGAGATCACTTTGGGTAAGTTGCCTCACTTTTGTAAGCATTGGTGTTTCCATCTGGAAAATGAAGGGATTGCACAAAATCACTTTTGAGACTCCTTCCTACTGAATCAGTGATTCATATGACAAGTCACAATAGCTCTTTATCACTATTTAACAAATAGTGATAAAGGCACTCATTGTTATATCATATGCTATACTAGCTGCTTACATGTACTTTGAGTTGGCATAACTTTTTTTGTTGTGTCAGCATTCAGCAAATATTAACAACATCTAAGGAGATACCATATTTTGGTCCCTGAGGTAGGCATCCACTGTAGAACTCAGATAAAGAACCCTCACTTTGGAGTCCAGGGATCATGGTTCAGATTTCAGCTCCACATTGACTAGCTCCTGACCATGGGCCAGTTGGAGGCATAGGGTGGAGGCATAGGGTGGAAAAGACCATGGGTACTTTTGGCAGCACCCCATTGATTAGGGGATTCCTGAATCAGGAAGCAAAGTGTCCAGCTTGCCTCATGCTCTGGTTTTCCCCTTGCAGGTGGCATCGTCCTGAACCCATCTGTCTATGGCATTCCTGGGCACACCCACACCATGATCCACGAGATCGGGCACAGCCTGGGCCTCTATCACATCTTCCGAGGCATCTCAGAAATCCAGTCTTGCAGTGACCCCTGCATGGAGACCGAGCCCTCTTTTGAGACGGGAGACCTCTGCAGTGACACCAACCCAGCCCCCAAATACAAGTTCTGTGGTGACCCAGGGCCAGGAAACGACACCTGTGGCTTTCATAGCTTCTTCGACACTCCTTACAACAACTTCATGAGCTATGCAGGTAGGGCCCCACTCTTGGCAGGATTCCCGGGGCTAGGTGGCAGATAGAGGCTCCAGTCCTGACTCATAGTATCTTTGAGCAAGCTGCTTACTGCTGCTCATACATCTTCCCAACAACTCCTCATTCCAGTCTATCAGGATAATACTCCTGGTAAACCTTTCTACTGCAGCTTCTTTCTTAGAAAGTAAGTCATGCCCAGGTTGATAAGTATTCTATGTGCTTCTGCTTAAATGAAGCCTCAAGGTCAGACCCCTTAGTTTCAGTGCTCAGTCTGCCTTCACTAACTCTGTGACCTTGAAAACATCAAGTGTCTGTGGGTGATGCTGCATTTGAAAGCTCCTCAGGAAGATGCACATTGGAAAGCCCTCAGACTGATACTCAGGACACCAGAGTAGAGGCATGGCTGTCACCTGGTACCTTTCAGCCCATCCCATCTCCTCTCTTTTCTCAAGAAAATGGGTTCTTTAGACTCTGTTTCTAAAATCCCTCCTGGTTTTTCAGCTGTATTTTTCTCAGCTCGTGGTATTTGAACCGTAAACAAACAAACAAACAAAAAACACACACCATAAAACTCTCACACCCTCCTTTGCTATTTTATTACAATAAAAATTTAAAAATGGAATGCTTTTAGTTTTGCAAGTACATAATGATTACATGAGATTGATTTGTCCTTTTTCTAAGCGCACATGTCCTTCCAAAACCCTCTAGTAACAGTATTACAGATTCACTCCTTGTGTTCTAAGATGCCCCGCACTTCCTTTTAGCATCTGTGAAGACCACTTCTAGCCCTTGTAACATCTTTGGCAAATTAGAACAAGACACCCCTTCCCCAGAGTAGCCACAGCCCTCACTGCTGGTCCCTTTAAGCAAGAGCCCTGTGTAAGGCAAGAGCTACAAAATTGCACAGATTCTATTATAATACTCAATTTAGGGCCTCTTTTCCCACTCGATCAAGGGAATTCTGTGAAGGTGCAGATTGTCTCTAGTCCATCACTATATTTCTAGCACCCAGAACAGGATCTATGTGCTTAATAAATGCTTGTTAGGAAGAAAGGGAGAGAGGGAGCCAGGGACACGAGAAAGTGAATCAATTCTCTTATAATAGACCTATAAAATTGATGCTTATCCATAACAGTATTTCTACTTATATAAAAGGTTATCATTCATAAAGGACTTTAGAGTAGATGCCATCTCAATTCATTCTAACCAAAAATCTAAGGGGTAGGAACTATTCACATTTTACAGATGACAGTTCTGGGATGCACTGAAATTATGTGCCCCAGGTCATGCATCTGACTGCATCACTTCTTTTCTTCTGTAATGGTGCCACTCTTCACCAAAGACCCAGAGGATGGAAGAGAGGGAAACTGAGAAACCTGGGTGGTTTTTCCCATTCTGCTCCACAGAGAAGCGTCAGGGATTGCCCTGGGTGGGGCTCTAGGTCTCAGTTTCCACTTGAACTAGGGAGGATCTCCAAGTGTTTTTTCATTCCCGTCGGCCTTATGCTTCAGATTGCATGTAGAAAGATGGCTTTGCTATGAGCACGCACTGAGTTGGATGATCCTTAGGGGTCTTCTATTTTCCCATTTGGGCTGGTGATCTCTGGAGATCTCGGGTTCATACAGTCCAAAGCTGAGGTCTCTCTAAGACTCAGTCCCCACCTGAGCACCATAAAGAGTCTTTAGGTTTCATTCTCTGAGAAGACCAGAGTGCTGGGTATTTCCTCAAAAGCAGATTCCCACTGGGTTCCACTCCCAGCCCAGCGGACATCCCACATCCAGTGCCCTGTGCCCTCACACAGTCCTGCTTACGCTCCATTTCTGCGGCACCTTTCCTTGGCCAGCGCCACGCACATGGAAAATAAACAATAACATGAGTTTGGAAGCTTGCCGGCCTCTTAGGAGCCTAGGAGCTGCCACTAGCTACCAGACCCCCATAAACTAAATCTCTTTTTGTTCCCCTTTGTACAGATCTAAAGGGTGATTGATTTACTGTTGTTTTTCTAAAGGAACCCCTCAGCTCAGTGACCCATTAACAGCAGAACTAATTCACTGAGCTACGATAACAAACTTACACCCGCAAAAGCATATTCAAGGCGACCACGAGCTTTGAAATGTTTGTTTTCCTTAGGATCTCTGATAGATGAGGTGACAAAAGCAGCTGGATGAAATTCAAAATGCAGAGCAGGATCAGGTTCTCAGGGCCTGGAGAGCAGGAGAGCAGTGTTTAGGGGCCTTGCAGTCCAGGCAAGAGGGTGGATCCCCAAGGGGTCAACTGCTTGGAGTCCTGCCTTCCCAGTGCTTCTTCCTCAGGCCTGGCCACTAGTGGGGTGAGGAGTCTGCAGAACGTTCTGCAGAGATGGAACACGTTCTGTTCCGTGTCTGTGCTGCCCAGGATGTTAGCCATTAGTGAGACTGAGGAACTGAATTCTTAACCGTAAGTAATTGTAATTCATTTCAGTTGACATAACTATGCCTAGCTGGTGGCTACTGCATTGATAGGCTCAGTGTGGCTATACTCATTGATGGCTCCCCTCATTGATGATTGAGTTTCAATGACAGGCCAGACACTGTGAAACGCTTCATAGGTTTCTCTCACAGAACTTTCCAAATAACCCAATAAGGTCGGCTATTATTATTGCACCCATTTTACAGATGCAGAGAGTGTGGTTTAGGGAGCATCAGTACCTGGTCTGGAGTCACACAAGACAGTTTTTCTCACTGGAAGGTTATCAATCGGTAATTATCTGGTTCTTTCTGATACTAGGTGAGGCTGAGAGGGTCCCAGGTGCTCAGATCAAGCTGGCATCAAGCAGGTGACGGGGCAAACCTAGCTGAGCAGAAAGAGAGTGTGGTCACATTGCCCTGGGCAGATAGGAGGGCAGCAGCCAGGACTGTCCTTCCTGAAGATAACAGGCCCTAGGGGCCCACCAAGCACTGGTTCCCCCCAGGAGTGTGGTAACCAGCCTTCTCCAACCTCTGGGAGCCACTGTCTTATCACCATCTTCCTCCATGTCAGGGCCCTTAATGTGCCATATGCTTCACCCAGCCACCCCATATCTAAAGAACATATCCTAAGGAAATAAATCAGTTGCTGTGTTTAAAAATTTAATCAGAAGAATGTTCTTAGCAAGGTTCATTCTCTGAATATTAATTAGGAATTTACTATCTGCCAGGTGTAGAAGAAAAATGCTTATATTTGTGAAAAATGAGAAACAGTTTACAAGTCCGAAGGGAATGGATTGCTGAAATAAATCACAAGGCATCTGCAGGGTGCAACACTATGTGGCCACTAGGAGAGTGGTAGAGTGGTTCAGAGTGTGAGGTTCAGGGCATAGGTACCGGACTTGAAACCTCTATGCACCAGCCTTTGAGCCAAGCAAGTTACTACTCCGCTCTGAGCCTTGGTTGATTCATGGATACCATGGAGCATATCACACTTACCTTGTGTGATAGGTGTTGTCATATAGGTGACAGGCTTAGTATCATAGCTAGTGTTCAGTCCATGATAATTAGTGAGTCATTTATGAGTTATTTAATGTGAAAACAGTCACACACACAGTCACAGAGTCTTATATATAAAGTAAGACCAGGTGTGTGTGCGTGTGTGTGTGTGTGTGTGCGCGCGTGCAAGCGCATGTGTGTATATGTGTGTGCTGAGAAATTTACATATTCATATCCATACATATGTATCGATACATATACCTGTATACTAAATATTAATTATGTTACCTCTATGACATGAGTTTAGGGTGATATTTATTTCTTTGTTACTTTTTTTTTTTTTTACCATATTATAAATGTTCTGCAGTGAATATCTTTAATTTTCATATTACTTTATTATTACTGTCATTGTCATTATCATTATTGTTAAAACAACACACAGGAAGGGACTTTTACAAAAGGCAACTCAGTTATCCATGAACTAGACCTGGGTCAGCTTGCTAACTACCCTCCTCAGCTTTAGGGTCCAGGTACCCTCATTGTTTCCTATTTTCCAGTGGGTAAAAATGAGGCTGGCAGGGATCAGCACTTAGCCACCTTTCCACAGGAAGTGGAGGAACCACGCCCAGGCCCTGCACCTCAGTGCTCAGTGGCTCCCGCCGCAGATGTAAACCATGTTCCTTAGCAAACTCGGCTCCATCAACATCATGGGACTGGTGCGGGCTCCAAGCAGGATGCCAGCCCCAAATTCCTTTCCGCTAGGGGACATGATGGGGACAGAACAAGATGTGCCGACTGGTCCTGAGACCAGGGTAAAGTGGCCACAGATGTCAGGCGGGAAGGCACGTGGTGGTGGGGAGCTAGACATGAGCTAATTGAGACAGAGCATTTGTGATTAAACAGAACCCTTTGGTACCTCACCCAGGATTTTGATAACAGCTCCATCTCTAAGTTATGCATCCGGGACAGACTTTCCTTTCTGACTTCAACTTCAAATTGCAGAGGCATCTCAGTTCCCTACCAGGTTCTATTTTCAAATTCTCTTTTTACTGACAGGCATGGAAATGACTAATTTTTATTTTATAAAAGGTAAATGTGCTTCTTTGGGGGTACAAGAAATAAATCAGAGTGTATAGAGAAAAACTGAATTTATCCTCCATTCATCTTGATTGATGCTTTCTGTGCTTCAGCTCACGGATGTGCACAGCTCCATGGGGTGGGACTGATTTAAATATCCCCTCATTTATACATTAGGATCCGAGATGTAAAGTTACTTCCTTTATTTGGAAATGATTGATTTGTATTCTGTTCTATGCCCGGGCCTAAGTTACACAGCTGTTTCTTATTAATAGAGAGATGTGCTATTTCTAATATGTTTACTATGCTAAATAATGCTTTAAAAAGTTCTTTACATAGATTTCCTCATATGTTCGTACATATTGAATTCCTAAATGTGATATTGCTAGATCAAAGAGGACTATTTTATATTCTGTTTATTTTCTTCTCCAAGTTTTCTAACACTCACACATTCCACGCGCACGCTCGCACACACATACACACACACACACACACACACACACACACACACACACGCACCCAATCATGTGGCGGTGAGCATGTACTAAGCATTTATCATGCTTCTTAGTGTTCTACTCCCCTTATCCCTTAGCTATGTTCTGAGATCAGCCCTGAACCACCCACTTTACAGATGGGGAGCTGAGGCGCCGAGGGCATGGAATCGCTTACCCACTTGACTCCAGGTCCCATATGCATTAATCTAACTTTGCAGACATACTGCCCTAGCCCTCATGCCCTTCTCCTTCCTCTAGCTCATCCAGTGGATTTCCCATGGCTTCCAGGATGAACGGCAAAGCTCTTAGCAACAAAGAAAATTGTACCCTGATGACCTGGCCCTTCTCAGACTGAGATGTTTGAACTCTGTTCTCCAGGCAATAGGGAGCTATAGAATGTTTGGTTTCCAAGGAGGAATCAGGACGTGAGAGAGGTTTGGGTTAGTCATGCTTTTACAGAACTTGCTAAGGAACATCAGGCTCTTCGGCTTCCTTCAGGTTGTGAAAGACTTCTCCAGAAGGCTGGAAAGGAAACTGTCACAAATTACTAAGGGTATCAGAGGCAGCTTCTGTGTATACCCTCCTTGCACCTCTGCCCTTTCCCCAAGCTGGATTCTCAAGGGCACGTCCAACTGCCCAGCACCTGCCCAAACTTATTTTCTGTTGGTTTGATAAGTGAAGTGAGCTTATGCTGCAGGATTCCCAGCGGTGGGTTTATTTTAAGATCTGGCGAGCCCCGTGCTCCTCCGTCTGGGGCCCAGCTGCGGAAACCCTGACCAGGCGGACACCTCTGGGAAGTGGTGTTTTTGGAAACCAAGCCAAAAAAGTGCCTGGCTCTGCCAGTGGGGCAGCTGAATAAAGCTGTTGAAGGAACAGACGGGAGCCAAGCTTCTTCCTTGGGGGCTGAGTCTCGGGTCACCACCTGCAGTCCATATCTTAGAGAAGGGAGAAGAGGATTGAAGGTCATTGCATCAAAAGACATTTAAGAGATTGTATTCCAACCCCCTCAAGCTCAGCTTCCATTTATCAAGCACATGCAGGATGCTTTCCCCACACAAAATCTCACTTATGCTCAGAAAGAAGTTCTCATATTGATTAGAAGCCTGACCTTGGAGTCAAGATTTCCTGGGTTCGAATCCCAGATTTGTCCCAAGCTCTGTAATCTTCAAATCGTTGCTTGATCTCTCTCAGTCTCAATCCCATCTCTAAAATGGAGAATTTCATAGTATTTATTCCAAAAAATAATGAGAGAGCTCAGTGTATCTAAATCTAAAGCACAGTGCATTGTGCCTTGCTCATACATGATAAATGTCCTATGTCAGTACTGTACAGGTGTCGTCTTCATATTCCCATACTATGCCTCTGTGGTCTTGCAGCCTTGTCCCCTGCAGTCCCTCCAATGTCTTCCCAGCCTTAGCCATGCAGTCTGATGGACCTCCAGTTCCTCCTCTAGAAGCCTCCCTGGCTCACTCTCCTTTCCCAACATGCTGCCTCTTTCTATTCATCGATGGTCACATGGCTTCATAGACCTCATAACAACCTTGACTGGTACAACTAATTGACCTTCATTTTAGCACTACATGGGTAGCTTCTTCAGGGAAAGGGTGTTCCACATTCCACTTTTCTGTGGCCCTTGGCACAGAGCAGAGAATATGCAATAGATGCTCAGAAGGTTTGCTTGAAGGACTCTTACTACATCAGTGAATAGCAGAATGAAAGAATGAGTGGATGATGCATGTGAACGAAAGAGTGAAGGGACAAGTGAGTGCATAAAGGAACAAGTGAATGAGTAAACAAGTGAATGAATGAATGAAGACAGTGAATAAATGGTGAGGGAGGGAGCAGATAAGGGAATGAGTGATATATAGACCAGTGCATTTGGGGCTCAGGGAAAGCAGCTTGTCCTGCCCTTGTCCTTAGCCATGACCTCTGGGCTATTCCCTGTTTGTCTCAGACGTGCTTTTTCAGTCCTGTCCACCCTCCCCTTCCGCCTGTTCCCCCTCACCTGTCTCCAGAAGTGATGACTGCACTAATTTGTTCACAGACCATTAACTCTTGAGTGCTGGAAGAGGCCGGCTCTGAGTTGGCAAGGGCTGGGGTGCTGGCTCTCAGGCCTCCAAGAGACGTCATCCTTCTGCATGCCGGCCCGTGCAGCCAAGTTCTTATCTCCCCCTCTGTCCCTTGCAGACGACGACTGCACTGACTCCTTCACGCCCAATCAAGTCGCCAGAATGCACTGCTACCTGGACCTGGTGTACCAGGGCTGGCAGCCCTCCAAGAAGCCGGCGCCAGTCGCCCTGGCTCCCCAGATTGTGGGCCACACGACTGACTCCGTGACGCTGGAGTGGTTTCCACCCATCGATGGCCACTTCTTTGAAAGGTGAGCATGGCCCGTGAAGTGTTGATTCCGCTTGCTCTCTCCTGCCAAGAAGAGGGAAACTTGGAAGGGAAGGGAAACTGGGAGGGAGCTTTTGCTGTGTTCTTTGTCTTTGCCCTCCGTCCACAGGTGCCCCCCGCACCTAACTCCATAGAGGCACATGATACATTTGAGGGTCAAGGAATAAATGAATGCTGGCTAATATAAATTAATAAATAATAAAATATATTTTACATGAATGGAGTGAGTGTTTAGCTTTATTTTAATATTAAAAACCTGAAACTTTTATTTAGGATCACCTCTGGGATAGAGGTGCTAATCTCATTTCTAAGAGCTCAAGGCTTGAAATTGGTTAACACCTCTGTAGACATGTTATACGTGAAGGTGTATATATGTTTATGTATATAACCATACATTACATGTGAGTACACATGCATATGTATAATATAGATAGACATGTGCATATATATCTATGTAATCTTAGACTGTGAGCAGTGTTTCTTTGTAGAATGAAAGGTAGAATTGTTGGGAGACCAGGAATGATAAATTGAGGCACAGAATGCCTTGTTCCGCTCCCCTGTCTTTCATTTTCTAGCTGTGTGGCCTTGGGCAAGTCACTCTCTCTCCCTGAGCCATATTCTCCCCTGAAAAGTGGGTCTCATGAAGCCTCAGTGCCTGAAGTGGAGACCTTCTCTCGAGGTGCCTTTCAGCATTGAGACCCACTGAAGACCTCTGGCTTCAGGGGCTTGGATTTTAGAGGGTTGACATGTTGACACCTGTTTTGGAACTTAGCTATAATTTTGTACTGATTATTATATCCTAGCTCACCCCAGCCCCCTAGCTCTTCTTTGGGATGGTTAGCCAATTATGATGATATAGCCTGGATGATGCGAGAAACAATAACCAGCTAATCGTTAATTCCTATTACTCTGTGGTTATGGTGACCTATCCAGTGCTTACTCTGTGCCAGATTCTGTTCTAAGTGCTTTGTATACAGTGTCTCATCTACCTTCCCAGTAACTCTGTAAAAGGGAGATCATCTTCCCTATCTGCCAGGTGAGAAAGGACTGGAACTCAAAGAGGCTGGGAGATTTGACCAGAAGCCCATAGAAGGTGGTAGGAGTTGGAGTCCAGCTCCCATTTGACAATGCCTGGTTTCAGAATCCCATGTGTGTTAATTAAGTCCTTACAAAGTCCAAATTATAAAGGAGGTAGGGGTGTGTGTGTGTTTAAAAATATATTAGATCACGGCACCACATTAAATTGGGGCTCTAATTTTCCATTCTGCCATCAGTCCCTGAATCTAGACCCTTCATTCAGCAGCAGGGGGATGTACCACAGGGGAGGAAAGACACTCCCTAACCTCTGCAGAAATCCCTCCCCCTCCTCTGCTACTACCTCACTGGGAGCTCAGTGCTGGGTTTGGGAAACCTCATGTGACACTTCAGAGCAGGCTTTCCAGCAGCCCGTGGATTTATTTATTTTTTCTGTGGCAATGAGAAGTATCAGGCTTTTGGTCCAGCCTTGGCCTCACTTCCACTTAAAAATGGAAGTTTTGTAAATGAAGCTTCCTATGTATGTATTCAATTTGTATTTCATAAAGCCGTTATTGTCCATTAAATAAATACCATCTGATTGTTGGAAACCTATTGGAGGGTTAATTGTTGTGTAATGAGATATGGCTCTATTTTACAGTGCCCTGTGTTTCAATCAATATGTTTTTAATAACCAATAGTCAGTTGGTACTTGAGGCTCATACAATAGCTATTCTGTTCAGTCTAAGACTTCATAACGGAGTTATCATATGTTAAATTAAAACTGACATTTTAGAAGCATGTCTAATTAAGGTTAACAGCTACGTAGATCATAGTCTATGGCTGAAGGAAGTCAGTCCACAGTTCAATAAATTGTTGTAAAGAAATGGAAATATGTATGTCACTTTCCCATACAGACAGTTTATATTCCAAAAACTGGCTTAGTTTGAAATACACAGTCTTTGATGTCAGGTTGTATGTGTTCCATCTCAGGCTTACCAGTCCAGTCCTTGGGCCCTTGGGCAAGCGATCACGCCTCTCGGATTCTCTCTGGCCCTCTGATCTTCCATAAAAAGGTGCTAATCATGCCCTCTTCACTAGAGTTTTGGGGGAATTTCAACAAGATGACCTCTGTGATATGCCCAGCACGCACATTCTGTGTTCAATATATATCAGCTCTCATATTGTACAGTTCCCAGAGCTGCTTAGCTACTTGGAGATGTTCTTTTCCTGCACCATCTCTGGTGTTTTCCACTACATCCATCAATGCCAGCCTCTCGCCCCTGGCCATCCTCTAGTCCTCCTGCTGTTGCTCACATCTGTGGTCTCAGAGAATACAAGAGCTTTCCTTAAAACAACATGTTCAGATCCTCCCACAGCCTGTGTCCTCACACATGGGCAACTGAATAAATAATTCAGGGCCACCCCCTGGCTTTCCTAACTTCTTTATTTCTATCTGTCTTGCAAACATGTGTTGACTGGCTGGTTTCAGTTATCTGAACAATTGACTGTGGCATATTAGGAAAAGCACTGAACTGAGAATCAGATCGGGGTCTGAAGGCTTTTGGATCTTACCCATGCCCTCTTCCTTAGCCTGTGTTCCAATCTCAAAGCTGAAGGGTGCTAGCCTTTCTCATCAGCATTCTTCTCCCAAATCCCAGAACACAGACAATCACTTGAGTGACTATTTTTTTTAATATATTTTATTGATTTTTCACAGAGAGGAAGAGAGAGGGATAGAGAGTTAGAAACATCGATGAGAGAGAATCATCGATCAGCTGCCTCTTGCACACTCCCTACTGGGGATGTGCCCGCAACCAAGGTACATGCCCTTGCCCGGAATCGAACCCGGGACCTTTCAGTCCTCAGGCCGACGCTCTATCCACTGAGCCAAACCGGTCCCGGCTTGAGTGACTTATTTTCTCAAATCTCCCAAGGATGTTGTATGACTAGTACTATTCTAGATGCACAAGAGAGAAGTTAATCCACTAACATACAGTGGATGTCTGAGTGAATCATTGTCCAAATAGGACTTTATACAGTAATGGAAATATTCTCTACCTGCCCTGTCGATATGGTAGCCTTTAGCCAACTGTGACCATGGAGCACTTGAAATGTGACAGATGGGATGGAGGAACTGGGTTTCTAAATTTGTTAAATTTTAATTGGCTTAAATTTAAATAGCCACATGTGGCCAGTAATCGCCATATTTGACAGCATAGACTTGGAGCTTAAGCACTGACTCTCAAGGTACCCAGATATAAAAGAGGATCTCTTTCAGCATTAGTGTCCTGTATTTCTATGATTTTGATGTGTGTGTGTGTGTGTGTGTGTGTGTGTGTGTGTCTATAGTATCTCTGTAGATACAGAAACATGAAAATCAAATAAATGCTAAAGGTAAGAAACATGCATATACATTCCCTGGATGTATAGAACACTGCCTGATTTTGATAGAGGCCACAAAATCTATGGTTTTTCAAGCTATGGCCTTAGGATGATTACTTTGTACTAATGAGCCCTAGTTTCCTAATCTAATATCCTGACTCTTGGGTGGCCAGTGTTTAGGACTTGTATAGCACTAGCCATCAGACGTTGTTCAATGACATCCATTGAATGTATAGGTCAGTGGTCCCCAAACTCATTATTCAACAGAGCCAAATATCAACAGTACAACAATTGAAATTTCTTTTGAGAGCCAAAATTTTTAAACTTAAACTTTTTCTAACGCCACTTCTTTAAAATAGACTTGCCCAGGCTGTGGTATTTTGTGGAAGAGCCACACTCAAGGGGCCAAAGAGCCACATGTAGCTCGCAAGCTGCAGTTTGCCAACCACCGGTATAGGTCAAACAATGAATGAACATGTGAATTGATGGTTGAATATGAGGGAATACACTTCATGGAGCTCTGTGAAAATAAGGCACATTGCTGTCAGGTGTATGATTGTTTATTCATCATCGAAGTATTTATTGGAAACCTAGAATGTGTCAAGAACTCAATGAAGTGTAGGTTACTATATAAATGTAGTCCAGAAAAAAATTAAAGAAACAGAAAGAAAGACTCATTGGCCATTTAGATCACTGTGGTTTCTGATTCCATCCCGGGACATTTGTAATGTCATTGTCATCAGGGGCATTCAGGTGATGCAGAGCTGCTCTGCATTGACTGTGTTCACTGTAATGGAACTCTGTCCTCCATAGTGGTGCTGAGCAAATCTTTCTCTCTTCAGTCATTGTTTGTTTATTTGTATAGTTGTTATTATTGCTAATCCACATTCAGAATATATAGAAAACTCAGAAAACCAAAATAAATAAAAATAAGGGATCATCTTGTGTTCCACCACATGGAAATTACTTCCAGTAATATCTTGTCATGTTAAGGTTATTGGAACAGCATTGAAATTCTGGCTATAAATTCAATTTTGAATATGACTTCCACTTAACATTATAGCTTACATTCTCCATGAAGTTTCATCATCTTTATAAATATTTTTGGAATAACTACTTACCATTTCATTGAGAAATTAATCTTAGGTTATTTAATTATTTTCCTATCTTTGAATATTTAGTGTGCTTCCTACCTATGTATGGTTTTATATTTTCAATGATGAAGCTAAGGATGTAAATTCTGAAATTTGAAGAAGTAGTCTAGGTTAGTCAGGAATCTTAGCAATTTTTCTGAATGACTAGTATTTACCCATCCATCCATCTATCAGTCCATCCACCCAATTACACATGTTGACATTATAAGGGGCATGGCTTGCTCAGCTTTAGGTTTGGGGATGAGCTCCCTGGCATCCGTGTGGAGGAGGAATGGGAAGCATCAGCAAACTGTGGCATCCACAGCACACTCTTCCATACCATGTGAGTCCAGAGGCTGCAGAGCTTCCCTGTGAAGGGAAAGCCCTAAGGCTACCCCATTGTGTTCTTGCAAGAAGCCAAAGGAGGGACCTTCTAGGAATGACGAAGGAGTTATTGGCAGGATCATTGCATTTTGAGAAATAATGGGTCGGGCTGGCACATTTCTTGGCATCTTTCTTCCTTTCCAGTTCCTTTGCAGTGGTCACTCAGATTTGTGGAATTTTGGGTCCAACCTAGTACATGAGGGTTCATCTCTCTCCCCTCCTGGCAACTGCCTCTCAAACATTTGCCAAGTCTGGAGAACAAATAGGATCCCAGAGGCTGTTGTGGCTAAAGAGAATTTGGATCCAGATACAAGACAGTAGACAGTAGGGGAAGCCATCATAATATTCCACTTCTGGGGCTAGTTCCTCTGAGGGATTGGCTTGCCCCTTGGAAAGCTGCTAAAAGGAATGAAATGGCATGGCAAGGAAACAGCTTTTGAGTGTTTAACCAAGGAGTGACTCATCCATTCCCAGAATGTCAAGGCTGGAAGGTTCTCTAGTTATCTTCTCGTTCAGCCCACTCATTTTTCAGGTGGAGGAACTAAACCCTGCCTTCTTCCTATCTAATACCTGGGACACAGGATGGTGCCTGGCACATGGTAGGTACCTGATAAATATTGGTAAAAGGATAAAATTTCAAGTCAAATGGGGCGACTGATTTTCTCAGAACTACACATCAGATTCTCAGTGGAGGTTTGGGTGGCTGATGGAATTATGATTCCGCAGGTTGTGAGTGTGTCTTTGGCCTGTTGATTTTATGCTCCTTGAAGTTAAAGAATTGAATACATCATTGAAATGGAAGCCACTTAGGCCCCAACAAGGTTCTTGCTGGGCAATAGGGAGGACTTTCAGTTACAGTCATATCCTGGAAGCTTTGGCATGCATAGTCAGGAAAGAGGATAACGTAAAACAGGTGTGTCCTCTGTTGCCTTTGGCCTAGGGAAGTCAGGGGCTCATTCAACTGTTCCTAAGTCGGTGTATTTTCCTTTTCTCCTTGGCCTCCTAGAGAATTGGGATCAGCATGTGACCTTTGCCTGGAAGGGAGGATCCTGGTGCAGTATGCCATCAATGCCTCCTCCCCGATGCCTTGTGGCCCATCCGGACACTGGAGTCCCCGGGAAGCAGAAGGTGAGCCAGCCTGGAAGCTCACAGACAGGTTGGGTGTGAAAAGAACACCTCTTTTGGTCCATATGGAGTGTTATGATTCCAATGATCTTTTCTCCATACCATCTCCTTGGATCTTAGATTGCCCTGCAAGGCCAGTATTTTTAAGTTGTAACATTTTTGTCCTTTTTTCTAGCTTGATTGAGATATAATTGACATATAACATTGTGTAAGTTTCAAGTGTATGATGTCATTATTTGATGCATGTATATTACAAAGTGATCACCACAATAAGGTTGGTTAACGCGTGCATCACCTCACCTACTTAACCTTTTATGGTGCCGGAACATTGAAGAGCGACTCTCAGCAACAGTAGAGTATCACTAACTGTAGTCACCATGCTGCAGATTAGAACCTCTGAACCTTTTCATCTTCCAACTGGAAGTTTGTACTCTTTGCCCAACATGAAGCCCAATGCCCATGCCTTCATTTAGCACATGTCCTTTGAGTATCTTCCCTGCCCTACGTATATCATCCCTCTTTACTTATAAGGAAACAAAGGCACTGAGATATTAAGTAGGTGCCAAGGCCACACAAAGACAGGTATGCATCTATATTTACCTCCAGAACCTGACAGGTACAAAGTCATCTGAGGATCAGTGCACATGTGGGGGCTTTAAGACATCAGTATCTTGGATTCTTTCTTAATTATTTATGGGAATATCCAGGGCATTATCACAGGTGTCATTACTTTTCCTTTCAGTTTCCCCTTCTTTTTGGGATCCATTAATCTGCAAGACCCTTGAGGGAAGCATCTCATGGTTGCCGTGTTATGGGCTCCACCCATGACCAGACCATTCCCTGGTTAGGGGGAGTCTCCTAAGCCTCCCAGTGGCCAATGATCTCTGTAGTCCCATACAGTACCCTTCGCTCCCAGGTTCACTTGGTTTTCCATAAAAATTAAGAGAGTACCTTTTGCTCAATATTTTATTACTCTGTGACCCTGAAGCAAGGCTGCTTGGAACTGAGACTCATAAACTATTGTCTATTCTCTTTCCTTCTGCTGTATCTGTTGCCTAGGGATCAGCTCTAGTTGCTGAAGCCAGGCTGAGAGACAGGACCCCCTATTCTCTTCTCAGGCATCGCCTTGGCCTCCCTCACAGGCTTACACTGAGAGCACCCCCACTCCCAATCCTGTTGCTCCCATGCAGGTCAGCAGTCTCTTGGGGGGGACACCCATTCCTCATAGGGAAAGGAGTCTGGTTCCTCATTGAGGTTCAGTGAGAACTCTGTTTGCCTCTATATTTTTAGAAAGAAAGTTGAAAAGAAAAAGGAAGAGGGATCAGAGAGGCAAGTGACAGAGAAAAATGACAACACTACACTTAATCTTCTGAAGTAGCTTAAAATAAAAATGAGAGTCAAACTCGGGAACTCTAAACAAGCCCATCTGGAATGTGAAGCGAGAGGGATTCTGGAAAAACCCTCAGCTAACCCTCGCAGAGTCACAGGCCCTCAGGCGTGGAAGGGATGCTCGGGGTCACCCAGCCGGGGTTCTCACCCAGTGCAGGAAGCCCTCGGTGCCCTCCCTCACAGAGGCTGTCCTCACACCAGGCTCTCCTTGCACCAGTATTTCCTGGCCTTCCTGTTCCAGTTCCATTTGTTAGAAAGTCCTTCCTGAAATGGGCAGTCAGGACCTTTCCACCCAAACCTAAGCCATGTTGGGTTCTCACAGGAGAAAGTATATGTCTCTAGCCAGATTGCACTTTCTGTGCCCACAGGGAATAAGCCAGTCTCATCTATAACCATGGCAGGGCCTGTATGCCAGGCTCTGGGCTGGACACGTGGGCAAGCCTGAGCCAACCATAATAGAGGAGAGTCAAAGAAGTAGATGGATAATCACCATCTGGGGTGATGAGACCTGTGCTAATGGAAGTAGGGAGCACTGGTGGTGGTGGTGGTGGGGGGGTTGCGGGAGCAGGAAAAAGGGGAGCTGCCTCATAAACGGAGCCTTGGACTTCTTGGGAAATGTCACCACACCAGCAAGCAAGGTGCATTGGAGAATGTGAAAAACATTTGGCATCTTTTAAATCGATGGTTTCCTCCTGGCATCTGAAGGCTTAGGTCATTAGGGTTCCTCAAAGTCTAAAATTATTTTCATAATAATACATGACATGGTTTACCTTTTTCACTCTCACTCTCTCCCGAGAATGTCGTAGCACTTTCCGGCAGCTCCATGGAATGTGATGTTATTACTGCTCTGATAGCCCACGGAACACATGCTTGTGTGTTCTTTAAAGTTTCTCAGCTTTAATTTATGGTACAGTAACTGCTAATGGACATGACCCACCTGAGTGAGAGCTCTGCAGTAAGGCTGGAAGAGCTCAGATGGATTTGTAGCGTAAAGAGCAAGGTGTGGAGTAGGGAGATGTGGGGTTGGGTGAGATATATACCAACCAGACGAGGAGTGGTTCGGGTTTATGCCAAGGGCAGGAAGGAGACCCCACGTGCCTTGGCAAGGGTCTGCGATCTGGTGAGATGCACATGTTATAAAGAGTGCTGGGATCCTCTGGAGCAGAGAACGGGGTTGTGGGAAGCATGCTGGAGGAAAGGGAACGGCCCATGAGTGGTGCAGGAATCCAGGAGGGGTGCAGTAGTGGCCGGATGAGGTTGGTGAAATGGAGAGATGTTTGGGAGGTAAAGTCAGTAAGACTCTCCTGAGACTTCTTTGGCTAAAATCATCTTGGATTGTTCTACCATTTGTGTGAATGACATAATTTCCAGACATCCCCACATACCTCTATATAGCCCAACCATCGATTGGTTCCGACTATTTCTGGTTTATCCCTGACCCTCTTAAAGCCTGACATGCAGAAATGGGTTCACTGGAAACGCCAAGACCCCTGGTTCCCTGAGCTGACTCCGGCCTCCAAGGAACCCTAGCAGCCCCCAGTTTCCTTCAGGTTATGTAAATTCAGCGCAGGCAGGCCAGGGAAAGACACTGTGCTTTTTTTAGAGCATCACATCATAGGCTCTGTGATCCCTTTGGCTCAGACTCTTTTTAATATCCTTGAAGAAATAAACTTTTCCATGAGCCAAACTCTGTAATTTATTTCTCAACTCATTTTCATCCTATTTATCTTTGTGTGTTTAAGTTTGTGGACTTCCCAAACTGACAGAAAACTCCGAAACCCATGAGCGATGCCAGCCATATATTTGGGACTGGGGTAAGAGCTGGGGATCAGGATGGAGCGGGGTAAAGAGGGCTGACCTAGGCTCCAACCTGTCCATCAACGTGCTCTGTGCCCATTAGTGAGCCATGGAGCTTCTTTGAAGATAGTGTCCTATCCACAGAATGAATGCCTGTTCCAGCTCCAACATTTCAAGCAGTTATAATTCTTTTAAATCTATTAGAACAAGACAGAAGGCTCCTCATTTAAACATATTTATTGAAAGCCACCATATGTTATCAACTCCATTCCATGAACTTCAGGTAAATACAGTCATAGGAATTCTTGCCTTTGTCCACAGAAAGTGGTTATAGTCCAAAGAAACCCTGTTTTCCTATCTCTTTAGCAAAAACTGTATTGCATAGATAAATTTCTTCTGGAATATTCAAGAGCACACTACATTTGTAGCCCAGAAGTTAACTAGCCAGATCTGACTGCCTGAAATCCCAATTAAGATCACTTATGCGAGTATATAATACATTACAAGCCTTGGGTTTTCTATGAGAGATTAACACATGGCACTGTTTTCTTTTTTTCTTATTTGCATGAGTTTTTCCTCTTTCTGCCTAGAATATTTCAGGTGCACTGAAGAATTCATCTGGAAAAAAACTTGGCTCCAAATTTTTATAACCATATTTGTGTCAACAGCTGCAATCTATATGCACATAAATATAGAATAGGTGTCTGAATAGATCTTCATAAATGTAAATTTAAATCAGCATAAGTATGTATAAATATAATTTACACACATATTTGGCCTCACTCCTAGTGGCCAACTTATATAAACATGTGACTTTTCATTTAGTCACTATGTACATAAAAGGCTATATATTAAAATGAAGTAACAGTACCTTTGTGTTTTTCCCCCTCCTCCTTCCCTTTTCCCTCTTTCCCTCTATTCCTTCCTCCCTCCCATCCTTTCTTCATCCCTCAGTTTCTTTCCTTGTCTCAACTTTTCTCCCTGCCTCACCATCATACATGCTATCAACTTTCCCATCTGTGTGCATTTTTCTCCTTAGGACTCAGGGTTTTCCTCATCTGCTGTGATGTTCTCTTTCTCCAAGGCACAGCTATGCATTCATTGCTGCTTTGGTACAGATGTCTGATAACTCGTCACTAGATTGGAAGCTCCATGAGGGCAGAGACCACATCTTTAGAAACCTGTTTTCTCTGGGACTAGCCAACCCTGACACAAACCAGGCACTCAATTATTAATCTTTGAATACATGGATGGATGAATGGATGGCTGGATAGATGGATGAATGAATGGATAGATTGGGGGATGCATAGATAGATGGATGGATGGATAGATGGATGGGTAAATGGGTAGATGGATGAATGGGTGGATGGGTGAAAAATGGATAAATAGTATCTATCTCTAAAGAGTGGTTTTCCCAAAAAGATAACTTTCATTTGTTTGATTAAAATCCTTCAGTTGCTCCCATCTCTCTCAATATGAAGTTCATTCCCTTAAAGTGATATGTGATTCTACTTACTTTGCCAGCCTGACCACTTGCTGCTCTCCCGTTGCTCTCGAAACCATAGTCATCTGTACACATATTCTCTATCCACTGTTCTCTTGGTTTGGAATGCGGCCCCCACTTGAGCTTTTCTTGTTAATTCTTCCTTACTTGTGAGAGCAGAGCTTGTGTGTGTGTGTGTGTGTGTGTGTGTGCACACGCGCGTGCGCATGCATGCACATCTATTATGTATTTGATCCCATTTGAGTTTCACGGAAACCCTGTGAGGTAGTATTACAGTAGGTAACACAATGTGAAGCTGGATAGCTGATATTTTAACCCAACTTTCATGGCTTCAAAGCCTGGCGTGTTGCCCAGACTGACAGTATCACAGAATATTCTACTCCCCATCAGGGAATTACTTAACCATCAGAGTCTCAGTTTCCTCTTCTTTTAAATGAGTTTCATAAGACCTGCATCATACACTTATTGCCAGGATGAAAAGAGCTGAGGCATGTAACGTGCTTGGCACCACACCTGGCACATATTATAGAAGGTGATCAATCCATGAAGCTGGTGTTACCGAAGGGATTGCTGCTTTGGTGATGAATTGGACTCAGGGACGCTTGAGGTTCTTTTTGACTTCTAAAAGTTTGTCTCTGATAACTAAACAAGCAGAAACCTTGCTAAGATTTCTATTCCTAATGCACTTGCGCATAATAAATGACTAGGCTCACCTTTCTGTCCTTTGGAAAAGCATTTGGCCCTTCTGTTGATGAACAAGAAACCATAGAGAAAGCCTGAGCCAAACAGATTTGTCATCTTTGCTCTCCTATGGCTCTCCACCTCTGACAGTCATCTTCTCCAAGGAAGGGAGAAAGACCCCTCCATCCTTTGCCAATTCCAGGAGAAAGCCCATGGAGTGAGTGGAACATTCACCTGGCACTCACCCTCACTCAGCAGGCTCCTGTAGTCCAGGGGCGATTCACTTCTTCCTTAACTTTACCAAGAGAGAAGATTCTTCCTGTAACATTTATGTACTAAGTATTCATTATGTTCACTATATTTGGACCAGGCCCCATTTTAAGCAAAGGCTGTATTGTATTGAGTGAAAAAGAGCTACAAAATAGAGACAAAAATGATAGGGATCCTGCAGGATTTTGATGATGAGCAGATGCATTAATTAATGGCTATGGAATGTGCTTCAAATATATTAAAATGCTACCCTCAATAAATGTTTTTGAATGAATAAGTGACATGTGTGTGCCAACAACCCACGAAGTCAAGAAAATCAGGAACTCAGTGGGATGGAGTGGAGATGGCAAAAAAGGCTTCAGTGTAGGTGGGTAATGCCTTTGACTTAAATGACTGATTGCTTCTAGCTAGAATTTGCTGCAACAGATAAGTGAATCTAGCCAAGGAAGAGCAAAGGGAATCTTAGAGCTGTGTCCATCTCTCCTTGTTCTCATGTGTTACATTTAAAAAGGTTTTTGTGCATTTTCCTTGTTCCCTTTTTTCTTTTCTCTCTTCTCTTCTCCCTCTTCCCCCCCCCCCCTCTTCTCCCTTGGTGGAAAGACACAAGGAGATTGAAGGCATGTATAACCTTCACCTGAATGTCTTCTCCACCTCAGATGACTTTCTGTTTTTCATTTCACAGTGATTCCTGTTATGCTGTAACAGCATCCCCACCCTCCACCAACCACTGATGCTGGGGTGGGGGGGGATGTGACAGATAGAACAGCTTAAAGTCTTCCATCCTACCCTTACTAACTGATCTATATCTCTTGCTACACTCCCTTAAACAAATTAGAGCCAATCATTACATTGAGCCCTGATTGTTATTCTCAGAAGAGCAAAGGAGAGCTCTTGAGGGTCTAGGACTGATGATCTCAGTGGAGAAAACTTCAGAAGTCGATGCAGTCTGAGATCAGTGGGGATGAGGCATTGTCTCCAAGAGGAAAAAGCAAAAGAATCCCTCCTTCCTTCTCCTAGCTCCTCACCCAGCCCTCCCCTTTTTGAATCAGACTGATCAGCATGGAGAAGCTCAGTGGTGTGGGATGACCTCATGTAGAGAAGGGGAGGAGGAGAGATAAGTTGGCTCCAGGGCTGCCTTTCAGCTCTGTCGTTTATGGTTCTGGACAGTTTCCTCCCAGAATCCTCAGTCCAAGGATCAGAAAGTTATCTGCACTAACCTCCTCTTTGCTGAAGGTTTCTGACCCTTCTGTCACTCCAAGCAGCTTGCATCAAAGGCAATACCATGAGGAATCTAGTTTATTTTAGTGGCCCCTGCATCCGGTAGTGAAAATAATGAGTATGAACTTCCAGCAGAGCCAACACCGGCTTCCAGTGCTAACCTTTACACTTCAAGCTGTGAGACTTGGGTCATTTCACTCCATATCTCCTCACCTCTGAAATGAGTCTTTACAAGAATTAAACAAGTTTATGGGACATAGAAGGTGTTTGATAAACATGTGTCCCTTTCTTATTTCCATCCTAGCCACAAAACCTACATGTGGCAGATGAGGAAGGAAACTTTGGGTATTAATTCAATAGTAAGACACTTATTTGAATATAGACTACCAAGTGTCTGGTGTTTCACGTAAGATATCTGTTGCAGTCCTGGGGATGAGCTGGATGTGAGACAGATAGCTGATTCACCAAAACATTGAGAATCTTCCCTTTCTTTTTCCCTCTATCTGAGTTCTAGTCAGGCCAACCTCTCCTGAGGTCTGCAGTAAACTCCAAGGATTGGACTGAAGGTCTGTCAGGAACTCATATCCTCATCTCTTCTCCATAGGCCATCCAGATGTTGAACAGCCCTGTAAATCCAGTGTCCGCACCTGGAGCCCAAATTCAGCTGTCAACCCACACACGGTCCCGCCAGCCTGCCCTGAGCCACAAGGCTGCTACCTTGAACTGGAATTCCATTATCCTTTGGTTCCTGAGTCTCTGACAGTCTGGGTAACCTTCGTCTCCACTGACTGGGACTCTAGTGGGGCTGTCAATGACATCAAACTGTTGACTACAATGGGGAAGAACATCTCCCTGGGCCCTCAGAATGTATTCTGCGATGTTCCACTGACCATCAAACTTCGAGATGTGGGCGAGGAGGTTTATGGCATTCAGATCTACACGTTGGATGAGCACCTGGAGATTGATGCTGCCATGTTGACCTCCATTGCAGACAGCCCGCTCTGCCTAGCGTGTAAGCCCCTGCAGTACAAAGTGGTCCGGGACCCTCCTCTCCAGGTGGACATGGCCTCCAACCTGCATCTTAATAGAAGATTCACAGACATGTAAGTGCACTTTCTGGATAAGTAGAGGACTAAGTGGGTGGGATGCAGAAGGAAAAAAAAGAGTCAGAGAGGCCTGGATTAAAAGAAGGTTCATTACAGCCAGACTCACTTCTAGGGCTTTATAATGTGGCATTGTGTATAGAATTGTCTTGACAAGGCAGAACTGATAAGGTGGGAAGAGCAAGGATAAGGAGCTAGGAGGCTTGGATTTTGCTGATAGCTCTAAAGTGTGACTCTAAGCAGTTTTTGGAAACTTGGTTTTCCCAACATTTGGATGGGATTAGCAGTGAAGAAGTCATGTGTTCCTAATGAAAATGGAATGATTGAAGTTTGATAATGATTTGTTTTCTATGTTACACTAGTGAATATCCCATGCATTCTGGTTGCTTCTTCAGTGTGTGAGACAAAGGTGAAGTTATGGCAGGTTGCTCACCTCTGAAATACTGTGAATTGACCATATTCCTGGGTATTTGTATGAGACTTTTGGAAGGTAAACATCACCAGTCATGGTCCTTGATTTGTTTTCTTTTTTTGAAGTGGAACACTGATCCAAACCCATGTGATCATTACGTGCCCTTGCAAATCTAGGTCTCCATAATTCTTGTGGATAGCCAATGCTTTTATACAACTTAGTGTTTCTCCTTAATATAGTATATATCCCAAGCTTCCTCTCTAGTACACCTTCTTTAAACATCCTCAGAATTTATATTTTACACAAGAAGTCACATTATAATGAAGAAATTCTTGCTTTTCCTATGTGCCAAACTATGGGCTAAGATACTTACATCTTTTACTTGTTTAATCTTCTCTGCATCCACAGTCCTATTATCCTTTTGCTTTTACAAAGAAGAAAACAGCAGCTTAGAGATGCGAAGTCAGGTGTCCAGAATCACATGGTTAGGAAGTGGTGAGATCAGGATTGGCATTCCACCTTAACTCCCAAGCCAGAGCATTTAACCATTGTTCAGTTAATAATGTGATTCCAACTTCTGCTTTAACCTCGCCAATGAGGGAGCCTTGGCCACCTAATTTGGATACTAAGACTCTATGAAGTCAATCAGCAAATATTTGTTGAACATTCATTATATGCTATGGATGTTGGTAGGGAACACTTTGAGTCTCAGAAAGAACAATAGCTCAGGAGTCAGACGTCTTGTGTTTGATTCCAGCCATTCCCCTTACTGACGTTAGATAAGTCAGTCTAGTTGAGCCTCAATTTCCTCCTCTGTGTGATGAAAATGTTGAAGTCCATGGTTTCTATGGGTCTTTTGTGGCTCTTTCTTTGATTGTAAGATGATATAAGAGACAATCTGTGCTCTGTCTACTTGAAAATATTTATGAAGCCAATCATTAATAGAAACCAAGTTCTGGAGGAAACTTTTAATCTTTTTAAGAGACAGAACCACTTTCAAACACTTTACCAGCACTTCCTTTTACATGCCAGCAATTAACGTGCACATCACAAGCAAACCCTCGCCCATTCATTGACTCAGAGATGAAGAACATCTGTTTAAGAACTCAGAGGGAGCACTTAGTTTGTGTTTTCGAATGGACTTAAAATGTAAAGAATCGTCCTGCCTTGAAAAGATTTCATAACCCTGTCTCCTCCATCTCACTTGTCTAGAGTAGTAAAAGCTCCATAAATATGCATCCACTTAAAATTTCTTTACAAAACAATGGGGTAATAAATAATAGATCTTAAAACCTCAGTTTAAACACAACTTTCATTTTTTGCCTCAAGTTGTGAGCATGGGAGCACTGATATCAGGTGCTAAGTGTGGAATGGTAGAAATTAAACTGAAGAAGTAAAAGCACCTGAGTTCTCTTTTCAGCCAGGTTACTAACTCGCTCTGCAATCTTAGGCTGGTCACATACTCCTTCCAGTCTTCAGAGGACTCCTCTACAAAAAGGAGGTTGCACTAGATTATTCGTGTTAACACTTGGTTGCACAATGTGAAAACTTGAAAGATTTTTAAGTTATCTGTGTCTCACTCGCACACCCTCCAAACTCTTCCCTCCACTCCCGGTTATGAACTTAATAGATAAGGATGAGGCCTGACCACCGAACTTTTAAAATCTCACCAGGTAATTATCTTGTGCAGTCAAGTTTAAGGACCACTTCAATTAATCAGGTTCTCAAAATGCAGCCCCCAACCAGTAGTATCAATAGCAAATGGGTACGTAGGAAGGCCAGGTCCCAAGGCCCAGCCCAGATGATAGCATCAGAAACTCTGAGTCTAGGCTTTTCCAGATGTCTCTGATTCCAGTTAAAGTTCGATACCACTCATCTAAATGATCTCAAAGGCCCAGGAATCTGCAGGGTCTCTCACTCATACAAGTACTCATTCAATGTACAGATATGCATTGAGAACTTTCTGTGTACCAGAGCCTGTCCTGGGAGGTGGAGATTAGATGGAATACTCAGACCTGGTCCCTTTCTTCTAGACACTCACACTTTAGTGCTGAAGACCTTAACTACTAACTAAAATGCCTAGTTCTGTGTCTACTGGCTTCCAAAACTATCACTATCCAGGCCCACGTTCTTGTGCACCATTTGTGCTTTCATTCACTCAACGAAAACTTCTCTGGTCCCTAATGTGTGACAAGAACAAGGGCTACCCTGAGGTGTTCGCTGGCCTTTCTCTTTGCTTCCTTGAGTCCCAATGAATTTACTGGAGACCTGGGTGGGGCTTCCTGACCTGAATGTTCTCTGAGACTCTGAACAAAGTAAAAAATCATTCCAAGTCAATCTACTATTTCAACTCCGTTATCTCTTAGTAATTCAAGTTCTGAACTCCAACACACATACCTCTGTGTGTCTCTGCATGTGTGTGTATTTAGCTGCTTTCACATTTTTTCCATATCAAATAAATTGGCTCATGAACAAGTTCTATATAAAGACTGTTTTGGAGAAAAAGAGGAGAGAGAAAAAATACCTCCCCCCCCCCCCCTTCCTGACTCAACCCATTACATGATCCCCTTTGACCTTTGTCTTCATTTTTTTCTCTCAGCAAAAATATTTGTGTTTTCTGTTATCTATCCTGGAGATAGTTTCCCAAGGTATGACATTGATGGAGGGAAGTGCTTCTGGGCTTACCCCATGGATGCTTCCAGTAGACTGATTACTTTTGGCCAGGACGAGGAAAAAATGTGTAACGTCTCCCTTAAGTGGAAACCCCTTCATTGAATGAGAAGTGACACTAGCAGAGGAAAAGGAGACCATTGCCAACTCTGCTACTAATTCACCATGTGACATTAAGACACATTATGTCACTTATTTAGGCTTCAATTTCCTTGTGTGTAAAATTGGGGGAAAACACATTATGCAATTCTGTGTGGATAGATGTTGTTCTTAGATGACAGGTGACTCATTTACCCTCTTTTTTTCTTTTCTTTCTTTTTGTTCTTTTTTCTTTTTCTCTCTCTTTCTTTCTTTTTTAAGTAAAAGGGATTCGGCAGAGATTGTCTATAAGATCAGTACCTGGAGTGGATCTCACTGGTTCCAATGCCCTAGTGAATGGTGTAGTGTGTGGACAATAATCATGCTAATAATAATAACTATTATTTACTGAATACTCACCGTTTAAGTGCCTTACACATATTTATGAGGCAGGTGAAGCTCAGAGAAAATCTTGAGCTCAGAAAATGCACTCATCCAGCCTACCACAGCTGGCAATGGCAGAGCCAGTCTAATTCCAAATTCCACCTTCTCAACCACAATGCCTCCTGCTGTAATAACACAGAAGCAGATCTCTAGAGCTCAGACATGCATCCAAGCTGGCTGAAGTTCAAAATGCAGCAAGTAGAAGTCAGGCTTACAACTCACAGGCCTTTAGCCCACAGTCCATTCCTGTGACCCAGTCTTGGAACCCAGCAACACAAGTTGCATAGCTAGTTCTTTATGTGTGTGGCTGAGAACAAAGAAAGGAGACTTCTGTTTCTCAACTTGACTGTCACCTTTACTTGCTTCTGCACCGGGCACCATGGTGCTTGGGTCTATATGGAATCTTCAGATTTCTTTAAGAAGTAAAAACTTGACAAAACTAAGCCTTTTTCTTTTCTTTTTTTTTCTTTTTTCTTTTTTCTTAGAGTAAGACAGGTGTAAGACAAAGCAGGAACAGTGAATAGCAGCTCACTGTCATTTATCTGTTCATCTGCCCATCCATTCATCATCAATTCATTCAGCAAATAGTTGCGGGAGTCTATCACTGCAGAACTAGGGATAGAGTCCTGATCCCTGGCTTCATGAGCACACAGTTGAAAGGGGGAAATAGGTAAGGAATTCAGTGATTATACTGCAGCATGAAAGATACTGTAGTGTGAGGAGTACAAAGAAAACAAAGGAAGGGTATCTAACCCAGTTTGAGGTAGTTTAAGAAGGTTTCCTGGAAGAAGTGTTGTATAAGTTAAGAACACATTGGTAAATGATGAATGAACAAATGAATGAGTGAACCAACATACTATATTTCATAGCAAAAGTGGTTGTTCAATTTCAGAACAAATGTAGAGTTTTGAGGAAGGGAAATGCAATAATCTGGACTATTGATCACTTTGGTTCTTAAATCTACTTCTTTTTAACTGCTGTGTAGTATCCCCTATTAGGAATAACTGTATTTCTAATGCTGGGCAGTGAGTATTTCACACATTTTCCTATTGCAAACAAATGCTGCAGTGAGTGCTCTTGTGTTAACCTCCTCATGGGCATATGTGAGCATTTTTCCAGGCCAATGCTGAGAAGTGGAAGTGCTAGGTTATAAGCCATGACCTTTTTCATTTCTGTGGATACAACCGATGGCTTTCTGAGAGAGTGACTGAGCTCATATTCCAACAGCAGTTGGTAGTGGGACTTTGTGCTCTGCATCGTCACTACGATTATACAAAATGAAAGTGCTTTGTCTTTGGGCATTTGATGTTCTCATTGATGTTCTTGTGATGAACATCTAGAGTGAGCATTTTTAACTATTTTAACATCTCCTCTTCTGTAACTTGCTAAGAATATC